ACACACACACACACACACACACACACACACACACACACACACACACTTCTATCCACAAAGCTGAGCACAACCCTTAGAGAGCACTATTTATACCAGCCTTTCATCCATTTTCCAACTCTCCCATGGCCCTGGTGCTTTACACAGAGTTTGGGAAAATGAGGACAGCCRGGAGAGAGGATATCAGAGGCTGTTACTGCATGTCCTTGATGRTGCGCGTTTACTTGACAGACATGCAGTAGGCGGCGAGGCGAAGGAAATGGGAGAGTCAGTGAAAAGGGAGCAATCACAGTGAGTTGTCTCAGACGGTACCTTTCCAATCTCATCCTTCAGTTTGTACTGGTTGAGTTGAACACAGTCCTTGAGGGAAAAAAAGAGAATAAAAAAAATGAAAGTCGATGAGACACGGGTGGAACAACAGGATTACAGTTGTTATAATTATGCAAATCTAAACAAATGGTACAGGACAAATCATCAAACAGATGTGTGGTAAAGACTCAGGTTCAGATTAAAGCAGTGGAGACTGAAAACAGATGACAGCGCTACAGTGAGATTCTGAACCTAATAGGGTTGAGCAATAAACTACAACGTTTTGATCATCAATCATCAAACCAAAAACCAAGCATTGATGATATATTTACACAAGCGTGTTTAAGCTTTTTTACTTAGAGGTAACTGTAACAATATTTTTAAAATTAGAACCTGCAGAAGAAGTTTTTTATTATCTTTTCTCCTTTTGATTGTAACACAATCATATGTCTATTGCTAATTTAAACAAATAAATTATGCAAAACATGTCTGAATAATAAAGCCCAGCTGCATCTCACAGCTGGTGTCAGCAGGCTGAGCAGCTGTGGGAACACAAAGTAAACTTTGAGCGTTTGTTGTTGTTAATGGATGGGTTGGATTGCACGTAATCAATGCGTATCATAGTATATCCAATATGAATTTGAACTGTACCTACAWTTATAGGTCAAAACTCTCAAAAGGATAAGCTAAACTAGCATGAAGTAAAGAGGAAAATATGGACCCTAAAAAAACTACAGCCTTTGAACTCCAACCACCAATGAATGATTTATTTGATCAGTCACCAAACCCTGGAATCTAATAAAAGTATGTCTAGATTATTTATTACAAGACATTACATCTATAGTGTTAATCCCTTAACAAACCTCTATCAAAAACAAAATACAACACTGACACCAAAACTTCTTTCAAGCATCAAAGAATTTCTGCAGATTCTGATTCTTAAAGGAAAAACTACCCACATCTACATCTAACACAGCTACTGTCAACATCCAGTGAGACTTACAAAACCTTACCTTTGCATCCACAAAATGTGGTCTTTAACAATGTGCTGCTGCTTTTAAAACAAACGCACACAAAGTTCTGCATGTTTTTAAGTCAGGTTTGATAAAAAAAAAATACACTCACAGATGTTAAAGAAAAGCACTTCAGAGCCTGGGTCTGCATCAGTCTTAGTTTGTCCATCTTTAAGTGGTGTTTTATGCAATACGCACGCCTCAAGAGAATACAGTGGGTCAGATGGTTCAGAGATGCAAAATTATATAATCAGGATTACTACTGCACAGCTTGTGGTTCTCTAATTAGTTATTTTTGTCCCATATTTTTATAAACAGCGATAAAGTTAGCAACACGTGTGCATTTCGAGGAAAACCACACTTTTGTTTTCAAACCTTAAAAGTGAAACCACTCCCTTATCATACCTGCAGATCGGTAATGGAGACGCTGTGCGACTCCACAGTGGGCCGACGAGGCAGACGTGGCGAGGAGTGTGGCGATGTGATGGGAGAATAAGGTAACGACGGGTAAATATAGCGCCCGTTGTGTCCAGGGGAGCTGCCGGGAGACGGTGTGGTCTGTGAGCGCTCCTGCAGAGAGAGTTTCCGGTCGGACAGGCTCAATCTGCCCCTCTGCTCCTGGCCTTCAGGCAGCAGAGCCTCTGGCCGACCAACTGTGTGGGACAGCAGGTCACAGGATGAGGGCCGGAAAGGTGCTGCTGTGGAGGAGGCTGGCTCGGGTGTCTCAGAGCTGTCCATTTCCTCCACCTAATGGGACACATTATTTTATAACTTTAAATACATTTATTTACATTTTCTAGCTAAGTACACTTCTGTATTTCTAAAAAAACTTCTATTAAACAGTGTGATTTAGTCCAAATGTATCATCATGTTCTGTATGACAACTTTTATTTACAYATTCTGAGAGGAGCTCATCTTACCTCCTCCTCCCCGACCTGCCCAGGCGGTCTGCTGGGTTCGTACTCTGTGACCACGATGAGAGACTCCATGGGGTCCGGGGACGGCGTCTCAGCGTGAGTGYTTAAAGGTGGAGCGGGACAGCTGCACAGCAAATCTGGCAGAGGTTGTGAGGGTTGCACKGACGGTGCATGGCTGCTGCAAGACGCTGGGTGCTCAGCAGAGGGCCAGGGCGTCACGTGACAGGGAAACATGGTGCCGCTCCACAAAAACTGACAACCGCCGCTCCATCAGATGAGTAACGCAACAGGGACTATACCTAAAATACAAACGCAAAATACAAATATAAAACAAGCAGATGCAGAGAGCACACACTGACCTTTTATAATAACAATAATAA